ACAAATAAGGTGACCAGATTTCTGAAGTGAAATCTGGGGACATTTTCAGTTCGGAGACAAAAAAGAATGAAATTTTATCAAGATGAAATTAAAATGGGGACAGTTACAGTTTCATTTATTTTTTTCATATTTATTCATGTTTAAACAATAAAAATCTAATATCACGGCAGGAATGTGTCTCTCCACACGGTTAACATTTCCTAAGAATAATAAAATGAATAAAGTAATAGTAGTAGTAATAGAGTACTAAAACTGGGGGGTGGTCAAGGGTATATACTAGTAAGTGAGCGTGCATACCTTGTGAGTGAATGAGAACATGTATGTACTTACATAGATGTGTATAAGTACACAGTGTATGGTTACGTAGCTGAAGTGTATTTATATTGTGTGTATGTGTGAGGTGAGTGAAGGTCATGTAGTCCAATGACATGAGCTCATCTCTGGTTCTGTGAAGTCTCCTCTGTCTGAAGAGATGGTGACCATGGAGGTCTGGAATAGAAGAGCAGAAAAGGTTACGCACCAAACTGAAAGAGCACAGATAATAGTAAAGAGAAACATTTTAAACATAAGAAATAAAACACAATTTAGTAATATTATTAAATACCTATTATTTTATTTTTATTTGTTCTTCCACTTATTTCATTGTCACTCAAAAAACTGCGTCTTCACACTGCTGCAGTTAGAGAAGTACATGAACCTGACGCCCAGCTCAGAGGAAGAACTTCTGTCCTCTCAGCTCGAACCAGCCGAAACATCTCACCAGTACACAGACACTCTGCAGTGCACACTGCACACTACATCACTCAATACGTTACCAGTAAAACCACTTCATCAGTTTATCTCTTGAACTTTAATTGTAAATATTTGACATCATAAACATGTGACACATAAACTTGAACATTAACTGAAGAGCAACAACCTGAAGAGCCGACCAGGACGTAGAACTGAAAACTGCTGGTAATTTATCAGTAAAATGACACATCTCTTATTTGAAAGAGCATCTTGTCATTCAGCCTCGTCTTTCTTCTTTCCTTTCCTCCATTTTCTTTGCAACACTCATCTGCTCTTTTCCTTCTCTTTGCTTTATTCTTCTTTCTATCAGTCTTTCTATTTAGGCCCGAGCAGCAAAGCGCTGCTAAGGCCTATTGTAATCGCTCTGTTCATAAGCGAGCTGCAATTTTTTACGCCAAACGAATTAGCATTTTGGGGGCATTAACATATCCTAAAAGTCACCAAATTTGGCAGACTCATCAGGACTGGGGAAAAATTACGTATTTTAAGGGCGTGGCAAAAATCGCAACAGAAACGGATCAAGAGCGCCACCTAGAAATTTTCAAAATACCCTCCTCATTAACCTTAGTTTGTCGTAGAAACATGAAATTTGGTATGCTTGTCCAATTCCCCAAGATGCACAGAAAACCCTCTGGCACCAATGTTGTACGATAAACAGGAAGGCGGACATTAAAACGGAGTATAAAGTTTTACGTTGAACGATCCCTATCTGACTCCTGTTACCTGATCAGCATGATAGTGTGTACAGTGACCCAAGATATGTTCGTGTAACTTGCTTTCCAACACTGACAGTTTTGGGTGAAGCATGTGGGTGGCGCGGCGTGGCGAAGTAAGACGTAACGCCGCCACCATACGTTTGGCTCTAAATTCCACAGTTTTGAACCGAGGTGCACCAAAACCAGTATGATCCATCATTATCCACCCCTTGAACAGGAAGCCATGATAAGTGGCCAATAGCCTCCACAGCGCCTCCTAGAATATTTTAAAACCTGAGCCCCAAGCCATTTTTGGACCAATAATTATGAAACTCTGGGAACCTCTGCATCTTCTTAGGAACTATGAAAAAGTCCCTTGGAGCCCTGGTCCAAACTCAACAGGAAGTCGGCCATTTTGGGTCAAAGCGTCATTTTTGGGTGTTTCTACTTGCGAATTTTAACTAACTCCTCCTAGGAATTTTGAAGGATTGCCTTCAAACTTGATTGATTTGCCCTTAAGACATTGGACAGTAAAAGTTATCTAAAGCTTGCGTTTTCATCTATGTTAAAGGGGCGTGGCCAGGACTCAAACTTTCGCTTCACGCCATAATTTCCAAACACTTTATAACTTTCACAATGAAAGACCGAAATGCACGAAACTTGGCATGACTCATCCCTGTTGGATGCCCGACGTTCCACAGTGGTCATATTTTGACGTCATCAAAGCCCCACCCCCTCGGAACAGGAAGTCTCTTTTTTAACTTGGAATGCTCCCTCTTTGGCACCATTGACCTAATCAGGAAGATCCTGTGTTAGAAGACAGATAATATGGTCTGACTTGATTTAAAACGCAAACCATTTCTGCTGAAGGATGTGGGCGTGGCGGCTTGGCGAATTAAGAAGTGATGCTGTTACAATACGTTTGGCTCTAAATTGCACAGATTTCAGCCGAGGTGCACCAAAATCACTATGATCAATCATTATCAGCCACTTGAACAGGTATCCATGATAAGTGGGCAATAGCTTCCAAAACGCCACCTACATTATTCCTATAGTTATATCTCAGTGATACAACATCCAATCTGCACCAGATTTATTGTGCGTCATCAGTGATCACTTGTACACACATTGGTATTGTTGATTCATGACATCACTTAAGTCCCACCTACTCAGAGAAAAAACGTTTGATTATTGGATGACACTTCCAGCTTCGCACTGTGTAAGATATTACACTGAAACTTTGTTCACTAACTGTTGATTACCACACATGACATGTTGAAAAGCATAAAGGAAGTGCTTGTCAAACATTAGCAACAAAACAGGAAGTCACCATAACTCCTGTCTGGAAGGTCAGATTTCACCTATACTTGTAAGACCTGCAGCTGGGCAAGTAACGACATGGGCAGAAGGCGATGTCGAAGACTCGGGAAATGCGCTCCATGGTGAACACGTGCGGGATTGACACGTGAACGTTCGCGATGGCGACTGGGTGGACTAGCTGAAGCTCCTGCGGTCGTCGTAAGGCCAGAGCGGCGCTTTGCTGCGAGGGCGTCCAATGCTGCTTGCAGCTTTAATTTCCTCTGCTCTCATTCACTCTTTTCTCTATCAGTCTTTGTATTTTTCTTCTCTCTCTTTAACTCTTCTTTCTATTAGTCTATTTCCCTCCTCTCTCTTCTATAAGTATTCCACTACTCTAAAACAGAGACATAATATAATCACAACACTTTCCAAAAACAGTAGAACATATGACATACTGAAAATTCACTATTTAACAAAGAAAACAAGATTTTTGTTTCAGATACCCTTTAGAAGTTGATAAGTTTTAGATGAAAAACTGGGATTATCCTAGTATAATCACAATAATAAATATTAACATTACTTTTAATTATTTAGAGCTCATCATAGCACAGAAACAGCACTAGTGAAAGTTACTAATGATGTTCTCATGGCCTCTGACAATGGACAGGTGTCTACACTGGTCCTGTTAGACCTCAGGGCCTGAAAGTCTATGTTCACAAATCCTTTCAATTCAATTCAATTCAGTTTAATTATAAAGTTTCAAGTCACAACAGAAGTGGACTCAGGGCACTGAACAAAAATATTTACATATAAAAGTAAGTTAAAACTATTTATCTGAGGAGCCAACAGATTTGAATTTTAATGCAAAACTACTCATAACTAGCTCTAAAAACATAAACTAAAAGTCACCAGTCAATTCTAAAACATCTTACTTTGGATGAACCCTTGGCGCTTGCACTCTCATGTAATATTCAATATGTCAAGTCTAAAACTAAACTGAGACTTGAAGGCAGTTCATCATCCTGTTATTTCTCCCCTCTTTCTCACTCGAGCTGCAGTTACTCCCTGTGCTCTCTTCTTACCTTTTGTTGATCTGTTTGTTAATAAAAGCTTGATTTGGGCCCTCATCTTTAGTAAAACTAAACACATTTAAACACACTTGCCACCTGCATCATGAAGGACCCCACTCACCCAGCACACACACTTTTTGCCCCGCTCCCTCATGATGGAGGCTGAGGAGCATTAAGTGTAGAACCACTAGACTGAGGAACAGCTTCTACCCTGAGACTGTTAGACTCATGAATCTCTAACCAGAATAATCACTGTGAAAAATCACATCATGTTGCTGCTGATCTGTTTCATGTTGCTGCTGATCTGTTTCATGTTGCTGCTGATCTGTTTCATGTTGATGTGTTCATTCGTGCTCATCTGCTCACACAGACTCATGCTCATGTTTGTGCTGATGTTCGACATAATGTTTTTATGCTGTTAGTGCTTAGTGTATTTTTAGTTGATGTTTTTCTTAGTTCATATCTTAGATGTTATTACTGTTTTTCTTATACATTTTTATTGTTTGATGTAACTGGGACCCTGTGTACATAATTTCGTTCGCACCACAATGACAATAAAGAATCTCTGACTGACATCTCAGCCCTGTTTTTTTTACCTGGACAAAGATGACAACATTGGAAACTTTTCCTGCTGCGAACAAAACTTTTTTCACGGCAAGGATCAGCCCATTTCAAACAAAATAAATCCGTTCATACATACCATCACAGGAGAGCTCCCCATCGGTGTTGACAAACTCGCGCTGCGCTTCTTCGTCTTCTGTTTTAAAGGCGATGCGCGGCTCTTCTTCTCTGTCTGTAACGTCAGCGCTGAAGCGCCGGTGCCACCAGCTGCTACAGTAACAGCGGTTGTTGTGCGCAACTTACTCACTCGCACACCTGGCTACATTAATAACAGTCTACGTGCAACGGTTTTTTTCTCATTCATAAAACGCTCAAATCGGGGACATTTTCAGGGACAGCTTTATCCGGGGACAGGTCGTCTAAAACGGGACTGTTCCCGAAAAACGGGGACATCTGGTCACCCTAATTACAAATAACTTCATTATGGCAAACTACACAAAAACATTACAACACTAAAGAATGCCAAAGTCGAGCTAAGGAGTTTAAATCAAAGCACATGAAGAAGAAAATGTGAGCAGCGTACCAGAGTAAGGAGACTGAGCACGGCCAGGCTGTAGTCAGAACCACAGGCCCGGCAGCAGGCAAGTTGGTCCAGGCCGTAGGCAAGGACAGTTTCCATCAGCTGCCCGCAGGGCTCCACACTGGCCAGTAATACCCCAACACACTCATTTCCTGCTGTCAGAACCACCTCTGAGAACTGGACCTGCTTTGCTGCCATCACACACGCCAGGACTCTGTTCAGAACCTTCAGACACAAAACAAAGTGATTTTAATCACCACCAGTTTGGAAAAACAATGATCATTTTAACAAAAACTTTCTGGAAATGCCTTACCTAGGCATAATATTTAAACAGAAAATTCTGTAAGCTAGGAACATGTATGAGTCATCAGAGGAAAGGCCAGGTTCTGGTTTCATAGTACAAGTCTTTCTGTTGTATTGTTCCTTTGTTGTAAGTGTAAAATAAAATATAACAGAGAGACAGCCGTTGATCCCCCCCCCCCCCCCCCATCCCAAGTATGCTGCTCCATGCAACAGATTCTGGGGACTCCCTTAAGTTTTATGATAATGAACAAACATATTCGTCTCAAGGTAACATGAGCAGGGCTGCTTATGGTGGTGGTAGGGGGAATGCCAGCATGTATTGGTTTGGCAGTGACAGACAAAGTGGTACTGGACCTTCCATGATTGGTGACACCTGAGGTGAAGGTGCTTCCCATAGTGAGAACCACAATCTGCAGCTCCTTGACTAAAGAGCTTTGAAGGCTTTACATCCACCTCTTCTCAAATTAATGATGGACCAAAGTGTCAACATCACTTCATCTAAAGGTGTGTTTTCAGCAGACTACGTAAGGACTTCATGTTGTTCTTCTTTGTTTAGCTTGCTCAACAAATGGGCGGCTCCTGTTCACTTCAAACTTTGTCAAACTTTGAGGTCTGGCCCCGCCCCTTGAGAATGTTCCAAAACGCACCGTGTAGATAACTTTTCGTCCCCCGTGCCTTTTGACCAAAATGGCCAAGTTTGAAACCGATTGAGCGAAATCCCTAGGAGGAGTTCGTTCAAATGAGGAGGCTGTAAACCGACAAAAAGGTGTGAAAATTGGGCCGGCATTCCAAAATGGCCGCCTTCGTGTTTATCGTACAATGTTGGTGACGGAGAGTTTTCTGTGCATCTTGGGGAATTGGACAAGCGTACAAAATTTCATGTTTCTACGACAAACTGAGGTTAATGCAGAGGGTATTTTGAAAAATTCCAGGTGGCGATATTGAGCCATTTCAGTTTAGATTTTTGCCACGCCCTTAAAATACGTAATTTTTCAACAATCCTGATGCGTCCGCAAAATTTGGTGACTTTTGGGATATGTTAATGCCCCCAAAACGCCAATTCATTTGACGGAATTTGCCAAAAAAAAAATTGCAGCTCAGGCCTGAACAGAGCGATTACAATAGGCCTTTGCAGCGCTTCGCTGCTCGGGCCTAAAAACAATACCAATGTGTGTAGAAATGCTCACTGATGATGTACAATAAATCTGGTGCAGATCGGATGATGTATCACTGAGATATAACTGTAGGAATAATGTAGGGGGTGCTGTGGAGGCTATTGGCCACTTATTACGGATTCTTGTTCAAGGGGTGGATAATGATTGATCATAGTGACTTTTGAGCACCTGGGCTCAAATCTTTGCAATTTAGAGCCAAACGTATTGCAACTGCGTCACTTCTGAATTTGTCATGCCGCCATGCCCACATCCTCCAGCTAAAACCGTTTGTCATTTAAATCAAATTTAAATCGTCGGGCATCCAACATGGATGACTCATGCCAAGTTTGTTGCATTGCGATCTTTCAATGTGAAAGTTATAGCGTTTGGAAATTAACAGCGTGAAGCGAAATTTTGAGGCCTAGCCACGCCCCTTTAACATATATGAAAACGCAACCTATTGATAAATTTTACTCCCCAATGTTTTAAGGGCATATTAACCAAGTTTGAAGACAATCCTTCCCAATCCCTAGGAGTTCGTTAAAACTCGCAATTAGTAACACCCAAAAATGACCTTTTGATCCAAAATGGCCAACTTCCTGTTGAGTTTGGACCAGGGCTCCAAGAGACTTTTTCATAGGTCCTGAGAAGATACAGAAGTTCACAGAGTTTCAGAATTATCTGTCATAAATTGGCTTGGGGCTTAAGTTTTAAAATATTCTAGGGGGCGCTGTGGAGGCTATTGGCCACTTATCATGGATTCCTGTTCAAGGGGTGGATAATGATCGATCAAACTGATTTTGGTGCACCTCTGCTCAAATCTTTGGAATTTAGAGCCAAACGTATGGTGACGGCGTTACGTCTTACTTCGACACGCCGCCCACACGCTCCACCCAAAACTGTCAGTGTTGGAAAGCAAGTTACACCAACATGTCTTCAGTCACTGGACACACTTTCATGCTGATTAGATCACAGGGGTCAGATAGAGACCGTTCAACGTAAAACTTTACACTTCCTGTTCTCTGGGGGCGTGGTTTAAGTGAAGTCATGATTTGATCATTTAGTCTTGCAGGGGACGAGATGTGGAACAATCAATGAAGGTTTGATGTCTCAGACAGTTTTCGTGTAGGAGCTCTTAGTGTTTCGTTTTTCATGGCGAGATGTCAAACTTTGAGTTCTGACCCCGCCCCTTCAACATGCTCCAAAATGCACAGTTTAGAAAAATTTTTGTCCCCCATGCCTTTTGACCAAAATGGCCAAGTTTGAAACCGATTGAGCGAAATCCCTAGGAGGAGTTTGTTCAAATGTGGACGCTGTAAACCGCCAAAAAGGTGTGAAATTTGGGAAGGCATTACAAAATGGCCGCCTTCCTGTTCATCATACAACGTTGGTGCCAGAGGGATTTCTGTGCATCTTGGGGAATTGGACAAGTGTACCAAATTTCATGCTTCTACGACAAACTAAGGTTAATGCGGAGGGTATTTTGAAAATTTCAAGTTGGCGCTCTTGAGCCGTTTCTCTAGCGATTTTTGTGAAACCCTTAAAATACATAATTTTTCAGCAGTACTGATGCGTCCACCAAATTTGGTGAGTTTTGGGATACGTTAAGGCCCACAAAAAGCCAATTCATTTGACAAAAAAATTGCTTGGGTCTAATGAACTGAGCAATTACAATAGGCCTTTGCAGCGCTTCGCTGCTCTGGTCTAATAAATAAATTATTTTTAAAGTGTGACGTGACAGTACTGTGGTGCAACTAGTAGAGCTGCTGCCTCTCAGCGAGCAGGTCCCTGGTTCAAATCCCGGTCCGAGGGCCTTTCTGTTGGCGTTTGCATGTTCTCTCCGTGCATGCGTGGGTTTTCTCCAGGTACTTTGGTTTCCTCTCAAAGACTAAAAACATGCATGTTAGGCTGATTGGTAACCACTAAATATGTGGCCCTGTGATGGGCTTGTGACCTGTCCAGGGTGTACCCCGCCCTTCGCACAGCGATTGCTGGACATGGGCACCAGCGACCCCCATGACCCAAAATGGAAGAAGCGGGTCAAAGATAATGCATGGATGGATGGAAGTCTGATGTCCATTTTTCCATGTGATCTACTCAAATTGCCATTGAAATCAGCGATCGGCCGGTAGATCACGATCGACGTACTGGGCACACCTGCCATTGTTTATGAAACACCAACCAGTGGCTGATTCTTGTACTACAAGAGCTGCACATATTGCCAGAAGCTGAGTAAAGATTCTGATAATGTACTGTTGACACCCGCGGCTTACACACTGTTGCGTCTTATTTATGTACAAAAATATGTTTCATCTTAAATTTAGTACGAGAGTCAGGCGCATTCTATAGCCCGGCAAATATGGTAAAGAGATTCTTTTTAACAGTGAGATAAATGTGTCCTCCTCCTTAGTGAGATGAAAGATCTACTCTGCCAACCTATTTCAGACCAGTCATTGAGCAGGTTCTCCTGGGTGTGGAGCTTACATCAGTGACGTAGACTTCAGTGATGGGGGGTCCTCTTAAAGGGCTGAATCGCTCTCCAATGCTGCGGACCACCGTACTGAAAACCCTCAGCAGAGCTGCTAGTTTTGGCAGTGACACCGAGGGGGGAGGGATGTCTTCATCCAGTGCCTCACCTGACATCACATGATTCAGATCCTAAACAGAACATTCAGGAAAGTCAAGAAAATATCCATCATCAGGTTAGAGACATTATACACTGACAAACTCACTATTTCCTGTAAAAGTTTTGTCAAGATCCCATTAAGAAATTTGATTGTTTCTATTCTTAAAAATAAAGAAGGCTTTCTTTCAACTAGTTGGACATTTTGATTCATCTGAAAAGTCTGCAACATGACAAGAATAGGAATCATTTTATAGCAAGGCTAAGCTCACCTCTGCATATGCCTCCATATCTTCCAAGAACTGCCCCAGCAGGGTGGTGGAGAAGGTCAGATCTGCAACCCAGAACTGTTCCAGGCTTTGTAACCAGCCTAAACACACAGGAAGAGATGATGCAGAAAAGAAAATCACCTGTAAGGCTCTTACAAGTCTTTCCAACCAAACTCAGTCACTAGTTACGGTGGATACTACCTTCTCAGTTACAGGCGCCGCATACTCTGACTGACAATTTATTTTTATTTTTTTCTTTGGAGTCAATCGACACATGGACGTGTGATAGTCACATGACCAATTTCAGCCGCTTTAACGGGAAAGACATAACCTCTCAGCAACTCCATTTTAATTTGTCAAAAGAGGTCACAGGTGAATTTTTATACGTTATAACCTTTTGCCTCTGTGAAGTCACTAGTTATTGAATATTTGCCTCACACCTGTTAAGTAGTTTCATTTATCAAGAGATAAATGAAAAAAGTGTGACTCGAATGTCTCTGAACCGTCTTATTGTTCAAATAAAAAACACAGTTCAGATGTCTGAAGACCTGCTGCTTGTTTCTCAGCTGACAGTCCTGTGTGTGCCTCTGCATTCAGAGTGGATGACTGATGACTGGAAGCATCAGATTTTGGAGTGGAAGGTGTACAGTTCATCAGTCAGAGCTGACCACTTGCAGTCAAAACACGCAAACTGAACTCAAAGTGCTTTTGTAACCAATCCCAACAGCCATGTAGAGTCAATAATAATGGCTACTGACCTGACACCTGCTGAGTGAGTGACTGCTTCTGAGTGTGGTCAATGTGCCAACCCACCAAAATGTCCACTGTGTCCTGTAGAGAATGAGAACATGTCAAAGATCAGCGCTAATAAATTATTTCCTGATACTTGTGCCTCATCCATTAAACACAAAGTGATGAAATGCTTACTCTGAAGTTAGTGCTGAAGACATGAGGGTAGCAGCGAGCCACCTGGAGAATGCACTTCACACTCTGATACAGCAACTCTGGTGTGTCCACATTCTCCAGAATAGACTGCAGGTTGCTCATCACCAGCTGAAATGAAAAAGCACTGACTTCAGCTTATGTACAGTTTGAATAAAAAGCAACCAAAGGAGCCGGTTCTAAATGATACAATTCATGGTTTCATTCTGATCATGGACTTCATTGTCATCCTTCACAAAATATAGTGGAAAAACCTGTTTTTACTTTTTGATTTTTCAGACGCTATTCATTACTCACCATGTTGATTTCTTATCATCATTACTTTGTTCAATAAATCAGTGTAATATTCCTTCTTATGATTTCTTATAATCCTTACCAACTTATTTTTATACTTTGTGTATCTCTCTTATGCTTCTTTTGTTCTCAGTTTCAAGAAGACTACAAATAATTGTTTTTTTACATGCATTTCTCAACCCTTTCGTCATTCATGGTGTGTCAACAATATTTCTCTTTGTATAATTTTCTTGCGCACAATTAGCTAGCTCATTTATAACGTGACTTTTTTTTAAACCCCACCTCTCAAAAGAATCTGAATCGGGAATCGATAGGAACCAGGATCAAAACGAGGATTCAGAATAGTTCAAATTTAAACAATGCCCAACCGTAACCACATAGGGCACATTATACAACCGCTGACAAACTATCATACAGCGATCTAGAGCAATGGCCTGGCCAAACAAAGATATGTTACAACTTTTGACCTTGATTTGTGACCTTGACCTTGAAGCCAGGGTGATTAGAAGTGTTAGCCATACTCAGTCTAGTGATAATGCTTATGTGCATGAAGTTATTAATTATTAATTGTCATCAAAAAACTGTCTTGAGCGGACCAGAAGTAATGGCTCGGAAAAGCAAAGACGGTGTTTTAACTTTGACCTTGATTTGTGACAGTGACCTTGGAACTGGGGTGATGAAAAGTATGTAAGACACTCAGTCTACTGATGATACATACATGGCTCAAGGTTCATTTAATTATCTTGAGCTGTCCATACATTATGACCGGGATGAGAGACAGTTTCCGTGCGTACAGAGTGACCATTCCGAAAAACATTGGTTACGTACTGTAACCCCAGATTCTATGAGTATAGGCGCAGCCCTTTAAGGCTATTGCTAGTGGGTTTATCCCCTTTGCGTGTAGCACAGCACTGAAAACTTTAGTCCACGCCCACCTGCTGTGTGGGCCCCAACCAGTAAAAATGACGGTGAGACCGGGTAATCGGCTCCCAAATAGCTTTTTTCTTCAGCCATTTAGGAACCAGTGAGGCCCAGAGCTTAAAGGGCTGCGCCTATACTCATAGAATCTGGGGTTACAGTACGTAACCAACGTTCTATTTCATATAGGCTTCGCCCTTTTAGGCTGTCGCTAGTGGGTTAAAGGCGAAGCAGGATGTAGTCTATGCCTCACTGGGTCCATTCAGACACAATATGAAGCACCTGCTTGCACCAAAAACATTTCATCACTCAGCCTTCTGTGTACGTAATTACGCGCTGTGTAATTACGCGCTGCATAATTACGCGCTGCATAATTACGCGCTCCATGCACAGGAGTGCCCCGGAGAAAAAAGGTCTCCAATGGGGAAAAAGGAAGGCTGAAAAGCAGACCTGCTACTGAGAATAGAAACAACAGAGGTTACGAATTGTAACAGTGTAACGATGAACAGAGCAGGTCAACAGCTCTTCAATATGAACTGATTAGTAACAATAAAAACAGCAGTCATGAACTTGTGACTGATAATAAATGTCTCACACTGTAATTGCATGCAGGCAGATGTGAGCTTAAAACGAAGCTCCATGAAACAAGTAAAAAAAAATCATTCTGTTAGAACCTTGAGAACAGAATGAATCATGGAGAAGGCAGAAACATCACATAGATAAAAACGAATAAATGAACAAGGAGTTGACCAAGCAGCCATCGTACAAATGTCTTCCACTGTCATCCCTCCAAGCAAAGCCATGGAGGATGAAATCCCTTTTGTGGAATGAGCTCTGAGATTCTCTGGAGGGTCCAGCCTTGATGATCTGTAAGCTTCAGAAATAGCCTGACACAGCCAGTGTGAGAGGCGCTGAGTGGATAAAGGGCAACCTGCGGAGCCGTCTCTGTAATGCACAAACAGGTGTTGAGAACGACGCAGTGTGGCCGTGCAGGCTACGTAGCATGCAGGCTACGTAGCATGCAAGCGTGCGCACGGGACAGAGGAGGTGAGATGTTGCTTCCTCCTCTGAATTATGAGGAGGAGGATAAAACCCATCCAAAGTTATCATTCTCGATTTAAATGAACTTGTGATGTTTTAGGGATGAAAGTTGTGTTAGGTCTCAGCACAGCTGAGCTGCCGTCAGCTTGAATCCTGAGACATGAAGGAGCAACAGAGAGCTCAGATAAATCGCTCACTCTCTTTGCTGATGTCAAAGCCAGCAGCAGGGCTGTTTTAAGTGACAGGAATTTAAGTGAAACATGATCTAAAGGCTCAAAAGGAGCTTTGATCAGAGCGCGAAGAACCATCATTAGGTCCCACTGCAGGGCTAGTGGACGTGACACCAGTCTGTGTCTCTGTACACCTTTCAGGAAATGCTTCATCAGCGGGTGATTAAAAACTGTTGTCACCAAAACCCTCATGACAGGAAGAAATAGCTTCAACATAAGTCTTAATTGTGCTGAACGTTAAATTTCTGTCTATCAGCTGCTGTAGAAAGGACAGCATGCCACCTAGTGGACATGAGATGGCCTCTACACCTTTCTCCGTGCACCAGCGCTGAAAAGCTGTCCACTTTGATGTGTACAACGCTGTGGTGGAAGCGGCTCATGCGTCTTGGATTGTGCGCACCACATCTTGTGAGAGGCCCATCTTTTCTAAACGGATCCGCTCAGCGGCCAGACCCTAAGGTGCTGGCCTATTTCCAGGTAACTCCTGATCGCTCCTCCCACCTGGAGGAGAGCATCGTCCCTCCACGGCAGTTTCCACGGCCGGCCCGATAACAGACGCTGCATATTCGGGAAACACGGGGCGCTTACGCGCTAGGGAGCTACAAGGATGACTGACAGTTCTTCCTCCCGGACTTGGTTCAGAATCTGTGATATTCGAGGGACTGGAGGGAACGCGTAAAGGAGCATTTTTGGCCACGGACTATGGGCAAAGGCATCCACTCCTAATGGTAGGTCGTCCCGTGGGCTTAGTGAGAACCATAAATGGCAATGGGCGTTCTCCCGTGTGGCAAACAGATCCACTGCTGCTTGGCCGAACCTGCTCCAAATCCGAGAGATCAGCTCGGGATGGAGGCTCCAGTCTCCGTGGCAAGGACCGCCCCTCAACATTATGTCCGCTCCCCTGTTCAGGACGCCGGGAATGTACACTGCTCTGACAGAGAGCAGGTCTTTGTGTGCCCAACACAGCAGCTGTCTCACGATGTGTAACAGTTGGGCTGAGCGCACGCCTCCCTGGCGGTTTATGTAAGCTGCAGTCACTTTGTTGTCTATGTGAATCAGAACATGCTGATTCTGCAACAGGGGGGCAAAATGCTGAATCACATTCCAAACCATGAGACATTCTAAAACATTCAAGTGGGACGACGTGTGGGCTGACCACTGCGCCCCCACTGCTTAGGACAGACACGTTCCTCCCCAGCCTGACAGGGACGCGTCTGTGAAAACTGAGACGTGTGACGTAGGCCTGCTGATGGGAACTCCCTCTGACAGAATGAGGGGGTTTCCCCAGTGATTCAGATCGGTTCTCACGGAGGGGGGCACAGAGATCATACGCCTCTTCTGACGCACCGGATCTATGCGCAGGCGGGCGAACCATCTCTGAAGGCATCTCATGTGAAGCAGGCCCAGCGGAACCACAGCGTGAGCTGATGACATCAATCCCAAAAGTCTCATGACCGTGTTATGATATTTTTGGGCTGATCCTATGGTTTTGATCTGCTCAGAGACGGGATTATAACAAAATTATGACCTGGTTCTGACTGGGTTAAACTGGGCCAGCAACTCTAAAGATAGAGTCTCCCTGGGATTTCAATATCAGTCAAGGAATAGAGTTTAATCTGCTTTATTAAACTGCTATAATGACTATTTGATGTGTGAAGATGTACAAATTTTTCTAGAGCAGGTCATAATGAAATAACGCCACTAGATGGTGAAATTGTGATGATAGATTTAATTATTAACATTGTTTTCTATGAAATAATTTTTTACAGCTGAAGGCCATGACGAGAGACCAGAGGATTTTGATAAATACATAAAATGGGGTTTTATAATATAGATTTTCCAGGGGGTGAACTTATGACATTTTTCAACATAAATTGGGATTAAATTTAAGGGTGGTGGAATGGGTAAATTGATTTGTTGGTTAATTGGGAATGCTTTTATATTAGATCACAAGGGGGAGTTGGGAGGTTCTATTATTTACATACAATATGCACGTTAAAACACGTTAAATTCAAATTCAAAATACTTTATTAATCCCAAAGGGAAATTAAGTGTTGTCATAGCCCATCATCCTGGTTTCATTCAAGAGTTGTTAAAGATGCTAAAAGCTGTGAGCAGGAAGGATCTCCTGCAGTGAATCCAAAGAATTTGGCCGCAGATATCGATTGGGTATTGCATGACTGAAGGGGACACAGTGTTTTTTCTTTTTTTTTCTTTTTCAGATGGACACAATGGACCAGGCCTGCCCTTGGAGTCAAAAAGAGAAGTTCAGGTTCTACAAAACTGATGAACATCTATTAGATAAGAATGCTTTCTTGCATTAGGACACCTTCTGCAATCATTAAATCATATATTTAGAGCTCAGACTTAGACAAATGTTGGAAATTTCCATTATGTCATTGCACCACACCAGGGGGATGCTGAAGTCCTAGGCAGATGTCCAGGGCTGGATCAGGCGACCTGAGGCTAACAGGTCACATGCTAGCCATCAGCTCTGGCATCTTATTTGACCTGAGGCTGCCAGGTCACTCGCTATAGCCTGTAGGCATCTCCCGCCAACATAAAAGGAGTCGTTTACATTCAACCAGAGGAAAGTGATTAATTGCTTGCTTATCTGGCGGTATTGAACTGGGAGTTTTTATGCAAGGGAACCCCTTCGGGGACCCTCACCCAGGGGGAGTTGTTACGATATTTTTGGACTGGTCCTATGGTTTTGATCTGCTCAGAGACGGGATTATAATGAAATTATGACCCGGTTCTGACTGGGTTAAACTGGGCCAGCAACTCTAAAAAGAGTCTCCCTGGGATTTCAATATCAGTCAAGGAATAGTTTAATCTGCTTGCCACATCACGTAGAAGGCTTTTGAAGCACTGTCTCATATTTCCTAACATGTCATAACCACATAAGATCCACTGAGATCACACTTAGTCACGCCCCCTCATATACTGACAGGTTGAGCTCCCCTTCTGCGAAGGCGGAGTCTTAGGACCCTATAAATGATTAATGACACAGGACATCGGGGCTCTTCCGGGTCTGTGAACACGTTACAGACCGAAGAGTCCAGCACTGTAAATTGTAATCTTTTCCTGCCTTTTTTAATATAATTGATAAAACTTAATTGATGTTTCCTTGATTTATTGATTAGTATGAGTTGCCATTTCTGAGAGAGATTCGAGCCGGAGGAAGCGGTGGAGGCTGGCTGAGGGTCCAGGGTCAGAGAGGAAGCCTAAGGCCCACGGCTAGCAGTAGCTAGCTGCAGTGACTGATGACCCGCAGTCAGCTCCCAAACGCAACAGCCGAGAGAGCTGTTACTACACTGCGGGGTTTAGAGCGGCGGAGCTGAGATGACAGAGCTTCGGCTCCCAGCTGTGATAAGCAGGCTCTCATTGTGACTGAATTTAGCTCCACTCCCAGATTAACGATCATCTGGGATGGGAGAACCAAACTCTTTTCCTACTTTATAGAAACCCCAGGTTTAGCAGGTGTAACGTCAACATTTTTGTTTGTGCAGCCGCTTCCTGTCTGGATCGAGTTAACAGCAGCAGGTCGTCCAGATAAAAAATAATTCTCATTCCTGCCCGTGTAACGGCTGCAGGGCCGTCTCCACGCATTTTGAGAACGTGTGTGGGGTGCAGGAATAACCGAACGGCAGCCTGTTATACTGGTACTGGATCCCCTGGAAGGAGAAGCTCAGGAATTTCCTTTGCTTTGGAATGATGGGAATGTGAAAATATGCGACTTTTAAATCTATGGAGGTAAACCAACCGTTCTGGTGAACGTTGTCCAACAGCTGTTTGGTTGTCAGCATGTGGAATTGTCTCTCCATGATTGATTTGTTGAACATGGCCAAGTCGAGAATGGGTCTCATTAATCCATTTTTTTCGGGACCAGGAAGTAACACGAGTAAAACCCCGTGTTTTCCACTCCGTTGGGAACCCTGGAAAGTATATTTTTTCATCAGTAGTTCCTGAACTTCTGAGTGCAGAGACGAGTTCTGTTCTGGAGATGACAGAACCGTCTCTATAATCTCTCTGAACGGTATGGGTTGAGCTGCGAACTGCAGCGTGTAACCCCTGCTGATTCAGACGGTCCATCCGTCTGTCCAGGGAACACAATCGCTGCCACTCTGCGTAACGCTCGGGGAGCGGGCACACGTTTTTGTGTTGTGTCATGTTTTTTACGGACATCAGCCAGGTTAAAGCCCTCACCGCCATCACCCGCTCCGGAGATTCTCCTGGGGTGACCCAAGGGGGGCTCCCACAGAAAGGGCCATGACAGAGCCTTTGTGCTGAGCTCAGGCTGCGGGCTCACGTTAGAGTTGATGTGAGCTGACACGCACTAAGAGGAGGCGTGAGCGCTTTTAGAGATGAGACGTTGTTTGGATGGAGGCTGCAGTTGTCATGGAGAAACACGTTTACTCCCGCTGCAATCAAAAATGTCAGAAAACAACACGGGCTCTAGCTGAAAGCAAAGGTTTTTACTGGACTCAGTCTGCAAAAAAAAATCATTTTTAGCTGACGTGTCAGGTGAGTGTTTTGTGTGATTTCCAAGCTGCGGTGTCTTTTAAAACCCTGTTTTTAAGTTACTGGCTCGTTTAGTATGGGGAATGTGAGAAAAGAGGCCACTGTGAGATCATTCGATCTGACAGTCAAGCTGGAATCAGAAGAAACCTTACTCTCTGAATTATGTTTTTGTTTTATTTTAAAACTTAATTAATCATCATGAACACACACATTCCCGGCAAGGAGTCATTTTTTGTGTTGCCTCCTCTGTGGGCCCTGCGGCTGATTGGTCCAGGGCGGCGCTTGTTGACAGCCTCTGGGGAAGCATTGAGTCGCTGATTGGTGCGCCGGGAAGGGCTGTTCTCTGGTGGGAAGGGCCGGCGGAGGATCGGGGCAAGGAGTCGCTGCTGCAGCCGTGGAGCGTCTCTGCTGCTGTCGCTGGCCACGGTGATCCCTCCAGCGGGCGGGAGGATGGCTGCGGCTTCATCAGGTGATGCACAGTCTCCGACACCTCCTCGGACTGGACTTTTCAAGCATGGCCTTGAAGTTGGCACCGAACAGCGCATCCATCGTGATGGGACCCTCCAGCTGGTCCCTCTGCAACCTCTCTAGCATGGATGGAGAGAGACGAAGCCAGGTGGACCTCTGGATCATCATCATCCAGGCAGCGATACAAGACAGGCAGACCGCAGATGTGGCGCACATGTTCAAAATGATGTCAGCCGCCTTGCAAAGCGAGCTCTTCGTCTCTTCAGGCAGGTCTGTGTCCTCCAGCCTATTCGAAATGCTGTAAGTCAGCAGGGCGACATTGTTGTTCGCCGCGGCCGCCTTAAAAGGACACTGGTGAGCTCGGTTGGAGAGCTTTGTCACCGTCTGGTCAGGTTTCCCTGGAGGGACAGGTCGTTGGTTCAACCTGGAAACTTTTGTCCCAAGTGCCTCTGCCAAGCTTGGCTCCGGGGGGGAACCGAGGGAAAACTCCGCTCAGCAAAACCCTCCACTCTGGTGATGGGAGCGAAGGTGGAGACAGGCGCCTTCAGCTTACCAGGCCCGGCTGCAGCCTCGTTCCAGTAGGACGTCACTGCTGGGAAACAAGGCCAGATGGGGTCAGGGCGGTGAGCCGGAGAGGAGCCAAACCTTCCCGCTAGATCATCCGATCTGGGCGGGGGGAGGAGAGGGACGGAAAGTCCTTTTGTGTCTGCCGCCTCCTGGATTATGCCAGGCAGCTCCAAGAGGAGGGCACCAACGGCTGGGAGCGGTGTGTTCACCAATGCGGGAAGACCCGAGGAGGTGTGAGCATCCGCCCCACCCCCACCCCCTCTTCCAACACTATGCTCTCCAGGAGAGAATGAGCAGTGGAGCTGCTGCTGACATTGCCTTTTCTGGAGGAATCATCCGATTCGCTGCGTGACCCTGAGTCAAAAAAGGCGATGGCGTCGTCCAGTGAACAATCCCCTGCCACGGAAAAACACTCCTTGATGTTAGCCTTGAACATGGCTGCTCGTCTCTGCTTCACCTCGGGAGGGAGGAGGTCACAAGGACGGCAGGAGGAGGCGAGGTCGGCGTGGCAGGGACCCAGGCATCCTTCACAGTTGTCGTGCCGGTCGAAGCTCATAATGTAGCTTGTCTGGCAGGACGGGCACAGGCGGATGGTTCTGGTGCTGGACATCTTCTTCTTCTCGATAAACAGTGCTGGTTGGCTGACGAAAAATGGGAGCCGATTACCCGGTCTCACTGTAATTTATACGGACCGGGGGTGGGGCCCACACAGCAGGTGGATGTGGACTAAAGTTATCAGTGCTGCGCGCGAAGGGGATAAACCCACTAGCAATAACCTTAAAGGGTGAAGCCTATACGAAATAGAACATGGGCCAAGTGTTTAATAAACATTAGGAAACTTGTTACCTGCATGATATGAGAGAAGGCCTTTCTCTCTCCAGCTGCCTCTAAAGCTCTGTGCGCTGCCATGAGGTACAGCAGTTTGACCTCATCTCGACTGCTAGAAGTGAACTTGAGAAAAAGCCACTTGAAGATGCGCTCGGCCTCGTAGCTGAGCACAGTGGAGAGCAGACCCAAGCAGGCTGCCGCCTCCTGACGCAGCTCCCACAGCAGCTTACTGCTACAATGGAAACGGTAAAAAGTCAGTTCAAGTCAAATTTATTTATATAGCACATTTAAAACAGGAACCGTTACCAAAGTGCTTAACAAAAAGATCACAGCATCAAATAAAAACAAGATATAATTACAGCATCAGGAATAAAAGCATAAAAACACAAAACATAATCAGAAACAATGAAATACTTAACTATATCGCCCTGTGTTAAATGTCAAGGAATAAAAGCAAAAGGCATAAACACAATCAGCAACGATGAAATACTAAATCAGATCACCCTGTGTTAAATGTCTGTGAGTACAAGTGTGTTTTGAGGAGAGATTATTTTCTCTTTTTTTTCATTTACCTTTATTTATCCAGGTAGTCTCATTGAGCCACGATAACTCATTTTCAAGAGAGACCTGTTTAGGGAGCAGATGGTGGGGGTTAAGGGCCTTGTTCAGGGGCCCAGAGTGGGGCGAATGAGAGTGGAGGCAGGTGTGGGTGTTCCACCTTTTCCACACACGTTTTGATGTTGACGGTACCAGGAGTTGAACCTGCGACTTTCCAATCACAGGCCCATCTTATAACCTATGCGCAACCACTCCCCCACAAAAATTTTAAAGCAGGGACTGAAGTGGCCTGTTGAATGTTGATGGGCAGATTGTTCCAGAGTTTTGGGCCCATGACTGAAAACGCCCGATCTCCTCTAAGCTTCAGCCTGGTTTTTGGTACCACCAAAAGCAGCTGGTTCGATGATCTCAAAGTCCAAAAAGGAGCATAAAGATGAAGGTCGGAGCGGTACGAGGGTGCAAGGCCATTAATGCACTTACCGTAGTTTTCGGCCTATTAAGTCGCAGTTTTTGCATAATTTGCATGCCCTGCGACTTACAGGCCAGTGACATATTTATAGATTTTTTCCCATATTTATAAACTAATTTTTGGCTGAGACATGACCGTTTTCATTCATTCTGACTGAAAATATTGAACACTACCATTTTCAGCCACTAGATGGCACTCGAGTAGTATGGCATGCCGTTGCGTCATGTAATAGGTAAAAGTGGCTATTAATGACACAATCGGCTTGCCATAGCCTGCCACCTTCGTTCTGCTTGCATGGAGCAACCATCAAATAATCTTCATTTCGTTGCGCTGCCCCGGCGAAATGCAGCTAATTTGACCATTGAAGTGCATTTTTTAAAAGAAAGTTCAACTGAGACACACCTTTACTATAATGTCGAGGAAACAAATAATTATTTTAGGTGCTTTTTTTGTTAAATTTTGAAGAAATGCACAGCGTTCTTCCTTCCCGATTTCCTCCCTTAGAGAGCGCTCCCGGAGCACCGAGGCAACAATTACTTTTGAAATACAGCTGATTTGATTGTCAAAGTGCATTTATTAAGGGAAAGTCAGACTGAGACACAACTTTGATATAATTTCAAGCAAACAATTGTTGTTAGGTGGTTATCTTGTTAAATAAAAAAAATATATACAGCGAGACCTCTCGTGTACGCGCCCACTTCCACGTATCAGCTTTTGAAATACAGCTGATTTGAAAAGTCAACGTGCATTTATTAAGCAAAAGGTAGACTGAGACACACCTTTGATATAATTTCCAACAAACAAATTGTTTTTAAGTTTTAATCTTGTTAAATTCTTGTTAAAGCCCTCCAGTGCATGCTCCTGCTGCTGCCATTTGGCAGCCAAATCGATTTTTGGCACAACACCGGACCACATATCTGGATTCGGACCACATTTCCGGGTTGTCAGCAGTGGCGCGTAGCAAACGCAACGCATCAGCGGTGACGCATAATAGATGCGACGTATACGGCGAAGCAAGGGATTTATGAATTTTTCCACTTTATTAGACATATTTGGACTGATGTGACTTATATAGAGGTGCGACATGTATGGCGGAAAATACGATAAATGTCATCAGGAGAATTTTTAAATCAATTCTGACACGCACAGGAAGTTAGTGAAGGGAGGACAGAACTGGTGAAATATGCTCAAACCTGTGAGTTTGTGTTAATAGCAGAGCTGCAGCATTTTGGACAAGCTAGAGATGTGAGAGGGAGACCTGACTGACCCCAACATAAAGTGAGTTACAGTAGTCCAGCCAGGTTGTAATTAATACATGGACTAATTTTTCAAGGTCAGTTCTGGTCAGCACAGACTTAAGCTTAGCTATTATTTTATTTATTTATTTATTAACCTTTATTTAACTAGGCAAATCCCATTGAGATCACAGATCTCTTTTGCAAGGGAAGCCTGGACCTGAAGGCAGCCTAACCTGCATGTTTTTGGTCTGTGGGAGGAAACAACAGTACCCGGAAAAAAACACGCAAGCACTAGAAGAACATGCAAACTCCACACAGAAAGACCCCAGGTCCACCCGGGTATAGAACACAGGACCTTCTTGCTGTGAGGCAACAGTGCTAACCACTGAGCCGTTGTACTGCCATCTGTGCTATCTGCCTTAGCTGAAAGAAGCTTTTTTGAACAGAGTTGATCTACTTATTAAACTTAAACCATGTCTGTCAACATAGCTGGGTCTGAATCCTCCACTGCTCCTCTGTGTTTTGGGGTTCCACAGGGCTCTATTTTAGGTCCCCTGCTTTTCTCCCTTTACCTGCTTCCATTGGGATCAATCCTTAGAAAGCATGGGATCTTTTTTCATTGTTACGCTGACGACAGTCAGATCTATATGCCACTTAAAAAGAAAGATGCCCCCTCAATTAGGCCACTTCTGTTGTGTCTTGAAGACATCAAAGCCTGGATGTCTTTAAACTTCTTAAATTTCAATGAAAAGAAAACAGAAGTGATGCTGTTTGGTCCTAGTGGCTCTTGTGAACCTTGCCCTGTTGATCTGGGCCCTCTGGCACCACATGTAAAGAAAACTATTTCTAACTTGGGTTTTAAAATGGACAGTGATTTTAAATTAGAGTCCCAGATTGGAGCGGTGGTCAAGACCAGTTTTTATCACCTCAGACAGCTGCTAAGGTAAAGACCATCCTTACAAAACAGCAGCTGGAAACAGTAATCCATGCCTTCGTCACCTCTCGGCTGGATTACTGTAACGCTCTTTACCTTGGAGTCAGCCAGTCCTCCCTCAGACGCCTCCAGTTGGTCCAGAACGCTGCTGCTCGGCTTCTAACTGGAGTTCAAAAAAGGGAGCACATCACCCCCACTCTTGCTTCACTCCACTGGCTGCCTGTTCATTTTAGAGTTCATTTTAAGATTCTTTTATTTGTTTTTAAAAGTTTAAATGGTCTTGCTCCATCCTACCTCTCTGAGCTGCTTCACCCATACTCTCCTGCTCGGTGCCTCAGATCAGCTGATCAGCTGCTCCTGGAGGTGCCGAGGTCTAAGCGGAGGCTCAGAGGGGACAGAGCTTTTTCTGTTGCTGCTCCAAGACTGTGGAACAATCTCCCTCTTCCCATCAGACAAGCCCCTTCACTGTCCAGTTTTAAAACTCTTTTAAAAACACATTTTTACTCCCTGGCTTTTAGCACACACTGAATTTGATCTGCACTGTTTTTATTACTTTTATTGATCTTAATGTTTTAACAACTGTTTTTATGTGTTTAAATGTTCTTGATTTTATATGTACAGCACTTTGTGGCAGCTGTGGTTGTTTTAAAGGGCTTTATAAATAAAGTATTATTATTATTATTATTATTAAAGTCTGCATCTAAAACTATCCCTAGATTGGTAACAGGCTGCTTTAGATAGGGTTGAAGGGAGTCCAGGTTTACAGTATTAATGACAGCGGCAGAGCTAGAGTCACAATGACCTGTTTTCTGATCATTAAAACTCAAGAAGTTCGAAGCAATCTAAATCTTGATGTCTTCAAAACATTTTAGCAAACGGCGAATGGAGCAGGAACTGTTGGGTTTCAAGGCCAGATAAACCTGAGGAGAGGGCCAGCGGTCACTCTTTCAGGGATGAAGGTGTTCACATCCTGGATAGAGAGGAACGATGGTTTGAGAGATGAGTAATGGAGGCCATTTTTGTGAAAATAAACTATCCATCATTAAACAGGGGTGGAGGCCTCCGTGTTCAACTGTCCCCTACTTACAATGCTGTTGTTGCTAGTATCAGCCGCCCCCCTCACCTCAGGTCAAGAGTCTTGGTGTCATCCTCGACACCACTCTCTCCTTCACTTCACACATCAACAATGTCACTCGGTCTGCCTATTTCCATCTCCAAAATATTAACCGTCTCCGCCCTTCTCTCACACCCCACTCCACAGCCATCCTTGTGCACAGTCTTGTGACTTCTCAAATTGACTACTGCAACTCCCTTCTTTATGGCCTCCCCAACAAATCTCTCCAGAAGCTACAATTGGTCCAGAACTCAGCTGCCCGTGTCATCACTCAAACCTCCTCCTATAACCACATCACTCCTGTCCTGCAGCAGATCCACTGGCTCCTGGTTAAATCACGCATCGTCTTCAAAATTCTTCTTCTCACTTGCAAAGCTATCCACAACTTTGCCCCTCCGTATTTATCTGACCTCCTACACATCTCCATCCCCTCTCAATCTCTCAGATCCTGCTCTTCACTACACCTCCATGTACCCTCTGCCCACCTCTCCACCATGGGGAGCAGGGCCTTCACCTGCTCTGCCCCTCATCTCTGGAACTCTCTACCCCCTGGCTTAAGAAACACCACCTCTCTTTCTATATTGAAGACTGCTCTGAAAACACATCTCTTTAGACTCGCATATCCTTAAATTTGCTGTATGTATTTTATATTCTGTATGTATTTTATATTCTTTATGTATTTTATATTCTGTATGTAATTTATTCCAGTTGATATTTGTTCTTACTGTAAAGTGTCCTTGGGTGTCATGAAAGGCGCTTTTTAAAAAAAATTATTATTATTATATTATTATTATTATTATTATTATTATCACTCAGCCTCTTGTGAACAGTAAACAGCCATCAGGTGCTAATGATCCATTGTTAGGCTGATGGTCCTTCTTGATCATGTGATCAGCTGGTTTTGGTTGTCAGCAGCAAAACTGGTTGATCCACTCTGAGAAGGTGCTATTTATAAGACTGAGCTGAATACAGCACCTCAGACTGAGGAAGTCTTTCGGATGAAAGACGAAACGTTTCTACATTTATTTATTTATTTTGGTTGTTTTGCTTTTTGTTTTTTGAATGTCCAGAGGACCAGATGTAACTTTTTTAGATTTTTATACCTGGATTATTGAGCATGCATCAGGATATACTAAAATTTGCCATCCCGTTTCTGAAAGTGCCATTTTGTGCATGAGGAACTCCTCTTTATTCAACCAGCTTTTCTAAAATGTATTGTCGTCTGCACTCTAAATGAAATGATTAAACAGGCCAGGTCTGCATATTTTTCTAATCTTGTGAGTATGAACAAGAAAAATCCAAAAGTCTTGTTTGATACCATTAATAATATGGTTTCCCCTTCACTCCCTCTGGTGCCTGTATTCACATTAGATGACTGCAATAGATTTTTAAACTATTTTGTGGAAAAGGTTGACAAAATCAGGGCAAGTGTTAAATCAGCTCTTGGTGTCACCCCCAGTTCTGTCCCTACAGTGAGCCCCTGGTCTTCATTTTCACCTGTGACTTTAGAGGATGTGAAGGTTGTTCTAAAAAAGATCAAACCTTCATCCTGCATGCTAGATGTTGTACCCACACCACTGTTTTTAAAGGTGTCTGATATTGTCAGCCCCCATGTGGCAGAATTAATTAACATCTCTCTTTCAACCGGGTCAGTTCCAAGTTTTTTGAAACAAACGATTTTAAATCCGATCTTGAAAAAGCACAACTTGGACCCCACTGAGCTCTGCAACTACAGGCCAATATCAAAAATACATTTTCTCACCAAAATTCTTGAGAAGTTAGTGGCTGGGCAGATGACTACATTCTTGCAAAATAATAATATTCTTGATAAGTTTCAATCTGGTTTCCGTAAGATGCACTCCACTGAAACTGCCTTATTAAGAGTCTCCAATGACATATTGATGGCTGCAGACTCTGGTCAGAGCAGTGTTTTGATTTTATTGGATCTGTCATCAGCTTTTGACACAGTCGACCACAAAATAATGATACATCGACTGCAACATGAGATGGGATTTTCTGGAACTGTTCTTAAGTGGTTTTCTTCTTATCTGAGCAAAAGAACCTTTTCAATGTTTGTTAATAACATACAGTCTAAGACCACTCCGTTACTGAATGGTGTTCCTCAGGGTTCAGTGTTGGGTCCTATTCTGTTCCTTCTGTACATCATCCCCCTGGGAAAGATTATCAGTAGCTTCAGAAATGTGTCTTACCATCTCTATGCTGATGATATTCAACTGTACTGTTCCTTTTATGACTCAGAATTACACAAGTTAGCAGAATTAGTAAACTGTGTTTCACATATTAAGGCGTGGTTAGCTAACAACTGCCTTCAGTTAAATTCTAACAAGACAGAAACCCTGATCATTGCCCCTGAACAGAAAGTTCCTTGGATCAAACAACACCTCGGTTCTCTGGGCTCCTCTTCTCAGCCGAGCCTCAGAAACCTCGGTGTTCTGTTCGACCAGTCCATGTCTTTGGACAAACATTCAAAGCTTCTGGTAAAAAACTGCTTTTATCATCTGAGAAACATTTCTAAACTGAGGGCAATGTTATCCACATCTGACCTGGAGATGATTATTCATGCTTTTATTTCTTCTCGTTTAGATTATTGTAATTCCCTTTTTACTTGTTTTAACAAAACTGCCGTCGCTCTTCTCCAATTGGTCCAGAACTCTGCTGCGAGGCTTTTAACAGGAACTAACAGAAGGGCTCACATTACACCAGCTTTATCTTCTCTTCATTGGCTGCCTGTTGAATTTAGAATAAATTTTAAAATCTTAGTTTTGACTTTTAGAGCTTTAAATGGACAGGCCCCCCAGTACATCACTGAAATGTTGATTCCTTATTCTCCCTTCGGTCTTCAGCGCTGAACCTTCTTAAGGTTCCTAAGACCCGGTTTAAAACTCGGGGTGACCTGTCCTTTCAGGCCGTAGCCCCCCGCCTGTGGAATGCCCTGCCCCTGTCTCTCCGTGTGACCGTCTCTGTTGATTCTTTTAAAACGCAGCTTAAGACACTTTTATTTCGCCAAGCTTTTAGTTAAATGTTTTACTGTTTTTACTAGCTGTTTTTACTGTTTTTATTAATGAGTTGTTATTATTTTATTTTAAGCTTTTATTTCTTTATTGTTGTACAGCACTTTGTGATTGTATCTATGATAAGTGCTATATAAATAAAGTTTACTTACTTACTTACTGAGGGGGGAAAAAAAACGTAATTTAGCATGTAACTCAGATGACCCTCACCTTTCATTGAAAATGTCATTGAGCGTGCTGAGGATGGTGTCCAGTTGTTTGACCAGGGTCTGTTTGAGAAAGAGGACAAACTGTAATGAGCCATGTGTCTACACCAAAAACATTTCATGTTACGACAAAGACCAGTTTATAAAGCCTGGAGAGAGCAAAGAAAGACAACCAGACATATGTTTGATGTTTTGACGACGTTTCCCTTCTCATAGAAGGAGTTTTCTTGTTTCAAACTGGAGTAAGGAGATCTTAAGCTTTAAACTGCAGTGAACTCAGTGTTTCCCCTACCATTATACAAGCGGGGTGCCCCACCCCGTCAACAGAACTGAGCACCCCGCCTACTAAACTGACACACACACACACCCACCCCCGGCACTGACATAGTGCTAAGCTAGCGGCGCGTAATACAGGCGCTCTAGCTAAAAAGCCAAAGGTGCCTCTTCCTTCTTGCTGAACAACCCCCCAAAAAAACACGTCTATGTCACCCACACCAACAAGAATCATGGATGAGATGAGCACCCAGCCATGGCAAGTTAACTAGGGGAAACACTGGAACTGATCTCATGTGAAAAATGCTCAGGCCAAGGGAGTCACTGAAGAAGTGTCTCTCTGGGCTGTGGCCATCATCATTAATAGAGATGGACAGTGTCTCCACCTGCTCACATGCCATGTTGTATTTTTTAAGTTAAAGTCCATGCACTGAGGACGTGCCTTCGGTTAGGTACAAAAGAAAAAGTCACAGGACCCCAGGAATTATTATTTATATTATATAATATATATAATATAAATATACACATACATACACATGTTCTTGTAAACTTACTTTTTGGGGACTCTGCATTGAATTCCGTTCATTTTCTATAGTCTAACCCTGACCCTAAACCTAACCATTACCAGTAGACATGCCTACTGGATTGATTGACAGGTCGCCAAAAAAAAAGGAGAGCTGGCAGCAAGCAGCAGCGGTGTTCTATGAATTTGCTTCGTCTGAGAGTGGGCACCTCAGAAGAAATGATGAAGTGTGCGGTGCTATGTATCACAGAAACATGGATTACCAGCGAAATGCCGGACTCAGCCTTCCAGCTGGATGACAGACTTTTTTCCGAGCAGACCGCAGCAACAAGCAAACAGAGAAATCGAGGGGAGGGAGAGTATGCATTTACATGAGTAAAAGTTGGTGCACAAACTATATGCTGGTAAAAAGCTCATGCTCCAATGCTTTGGAGCAGCTAACAGTGAAATGTCGACCACATTATCTACCCCGTGAGTTCACAGTGGCTTTCATAACAGTTGTTTACATAGCCCCGGATGTTAATGCTACAGACACTATACAGGAGCTTCATGATCTTTTCAGCTAGCTGCAAAGCAAACACCCTGAGGCTTTTTACATAGTGGCTGGTGACTTTAATCATGTGAACCTAAAAGAATGCCTCCCAAGATTTTACCAGCATGTGGCCATACCAACATGTGGAAACAACACGCTGGACCGCGCTAACACAAACGTAAAAGATGCATACAAAGCCGAACCCTGCCCCCACCTAGGATTCTATGATCGCGTCTCAATCTTCCTGGTTCCTGCTTACATAAGCCTGTTGAGACGTTCCGAACTGGTACAATAGAAAGTTAAATCTTGGATCCAGAACAGTGGGCATATACTGAAAGATTGTTTTGAACAAACAGACAGGGAGGTCTTCAGAGAAGATGCTGAAAATGGGGTGGGGGTGGGCTAGACGTGGAACAATACACATCCGCAGTTCTTGGGTACATTAGTACGTCAGGTGACGTCAACACCATCAGATATGTTAAGAGTTACCCAATCAGAAAACCTTGGCTAAATGCAAAGGTTCGCACCCTGCTGGAAGCCAGGAACACTGCCTTCAGGTGTGGAAACTCTCAGGACCTGAGACGGACAAGGAAAGAGCTGGTTGCTTGTATTAAGAGGGCCAAGGCTTCATATGGACAGAGGATTGAGGGTCAATTCACCTCACAAGACCCACGGAGCATTAAGTGCATAACAGATTATAAAGGTAAGAAAGAACAATGCCCTAGAGACCCATCATTGCCTGATGCCCTCAAGAAGTTCTACACACGCTTTGAATATCTGAACAGACCACCAAGCACGAGACTCACCTCACCACTGGATTAAGAGCTTCACAGCATGACCTCAGCAGACGTAATAAGTACTTTCAGGAGGATTAACACTCACAAAGCAACTGGCCAAGACAACATCCCAGGGGAGGTGTTGAAAGACTGTGCCAATCAACTCTGCGAGAGGCTGGCAGACATCTTTTACTCGTCACTTACATTGGCAACAGTTCCCACCCACCTGAAGACCGAAATAATCATCCCAGTCCCAAAGAGCTCTACAGTGACTGGTCTGAATGACTATTGGCCAGTGGTCCTCATCCCGATAGTCGCTAAATGCTTCGAAAAACTGGTCAAGACCCACATTAAAACAACCATCAACATCAACGAGGACCCTCACCAGAACACATACTGCGAGAACCGATCAACAGAGGATGCCATCTCCTCTGTGGTCCACACTGCGCTCAACCACCTGGAACAGAAGGACTCCTACGTCTGTAGGCTCATTGTGGACTTCACATCTGCCTTCAATACTATGATCCCCCAAACCCTGATGGACAAACTACTTACACTAGGACTAAGTCCCTCCATTTGCAACCATGTCCTGGACGTCTTAACAAACAGGCCACAGTCAGTGAGGATACACAACTTCTCCTCCACCACCATAACCCTCAGCACTGGCTCCCGTCAGGGGTGTGTACTGAGCACTCTCCTATTCACGCTGCTCACGTATGATTGTGCACCTACCCATCCAGGCTGTCAACTGTAGTTTGCGGACGACACAGTGGTGCTGGGATGCATCACAAACAATGATGAGTCCAGCTACAGGCAGGAGATGGAACACTTGGAGAGCTGATGCAAAGAGAATAACCTTCACATTAATGTGAACAAGACAAAGGAGATGATCGTGGACTTCAGAAGGAACAAACAAAGCTACACCCCCTGAACTTAAGAGGATCTGCAGTGGAAGTGGTCTCCAGCTACAAGTACTTGGGTGTACACCTGAATGACGACGTCAGCTGGGGCAACACCACCACCAGCCTGATCAAGAAAGCTCATAAGAGACTCTACTTCCTCAGGTGGCTGAAACGAGCTGGTCTGGGAAGCTCAGTCCTCACCTCCTTCTACAGGTGTGCAGTGGAGAGCATCCTGTGCTCCAGCATCAACGTGTGGCATGGAGGCTGCACAGCTGCAGAAAGAAAAGCTTTGCAGAGAGTGGTGAAGGCTGCACAGAAGATGTTGGAGTCAGTCTTCCCACCATCACAAACATCTACACCTCCAAACGCAGGAAAAGAGCCACCTGCATCATGAAGGACCCCACTCACCCAGCGCACACATTTTTTGCCCCGCTCCCCTCGGGAAGAAGGTTGAGGAGCATTAAGTGTAGAACCACTAGACTGAGGAACAGCTTCTACCCTGAAGCTGTTAGACTCATGAATCTGTAACCAGAATAATCACTGTGAAACACACATCATGTTGCTGCTGATCTGTTTCATGTTGCTGCTCATCTGTTTCATGTTGCTACTGATCTGTTTCATGTTGCTGCTGATCTGTTTCATGTTGCTGCTGAT